ACTTCTACCACTACTACCACTACTACCACCACCACCACGACACGACGACGACGACTTACTACTACTTCTCCTGCTGCTGCTGCTGCTACTACTACTACTACTACTGCTACTACTGCTCGGCCGACCCCGGAAAGGACGATGAACTCCTGGCACCCTGCCTTTGCCGTGGCAGCTCCAAGATACTCGGCTTTTATGTTTCATGTTCTTGCTCAGCTTCGAGCGTTAGGTAAGCGTTGTGTTGGTGGTTTCGGCACGCTTGGTCTTCGGCAGGTTGGGTGTAGGATTTGGAATTTAGGACTCTAGGAGATCCACGGAAACCAGATGCAAATAGGACTCCTCTGTGAGGCTGCCTGACTTGAAACGAATTGAAACTAATTGTGCCTTCTTTCGGCAGTTCCGAATATCTAGCTTGTTGCATGTTGTTATGATCTCTTGGGAGTGGACCTAGACCTAACACTCGATTCGAGCCGGCGTCGGGCACGTAAAACTCGACTTGATACTGAGCTTCGCCAAACGGCTGCAGGGTTGCACAAGGCTTTCAGCAACTCGCATCCTGAGGGCAGAGGCTGCAAACCAGATTCAACCCAGTGTTTTCCGTTCCTTTGACCCTGGCTGCAAAGTTCGTAGCTAACACCGGACCAGCACTACGAGCTTTGGACCAGCCTCAGGGATTGTTTCAAATGAATGTGACCTCTCAATTGAGCTTTGTAATAAGGTACGTGCATCGCGGCTGTCGTTGCCTCAGGAGTTCCGGCTGCCAGTGAGATGGAAGGGCCTGGCTCATGGCCATGAAAGTTTGAAGGCCAAGCCCCAAACCCTAAACTAGGGCTCACAGATTCGGGTCTGCCCTTACGCGTCAACTCGTGAGTGAGTACAGCCTAAATCTAAGATAGATGCGTCGAAAGGGGGCAATCTTATTGCAACACATCCCCAAACCCCACTTCAATTATTATGGCCCCAGCATCACAAGGCAGGTCTGGGACTGGCTACTAGAAAGTCCGACAAAACCCCAAAAAATCGAAGTCCCAAAGCCTTCAATCATTCAAAGCACATGAAGGCAGCTAAGACACACACACACACATACGGGCTGATGGGATCATTGCGTGTTTGTTGAGATGTTAGCAACGGATGGTGGTTCTTGCTCTTAGGGCAATCATTTGCCGATTGTCATTTGTAAGAGAATGATGGTGATGATGAGGAACATTACCATGGATATTACACATATAGTACACTGTTTGAATTCCCTGGTCTCACCTGCAAAGGGTCATGCAACTGTGGAATCACAAAGGCTGCTCGCGGTAGATAGGTACAGCCAAGATCCCAACCGATGCTTCGGCCTTGGGACACAGCCGAAGTAGTGATATGATCCAAGATTAGGTGCAGAGCAGTGGAATACTCACGACATCCTGAGGTGCTAGCCCTCACTTATTTCCATAGCACAGTACAACTGCGGCGCAAGAGCCGGAGAATGAAAGAGGCACAACCAAGCTGCTGACGTGACCCGTACTTAAACCCTCCACCCCAGTGCGCTCCCGATTAGGTCTGGACAGCTGGCGGATCTCGGGCTTTGATCCCAAAACCGTGACTTGAATAGAAGTCCAAAGTTTCTGACCGATTAATTGGATCCCATCTTTCATCCATGCCGCCGCGTGTATCTGCTTGCTGAGTCGATCGCTTCAAGTTTTGGCGGGGTGGCTGCTAACAGCTTTAAGCCTGTAAGCACCTGGTTCGGCTTGCGTTCTGGAGTTCAGCCTCCAGCCGCAGGTCACAGTAGCATTGTGTCTCAGATGTGCCTGCCACTCGGGATAGTTCACCGTCGGTCTGGCTAGCGTCCCCGGCTTTTCCAACGATTTCTGTAGCTAAACAGTCTGACTTCCTCCATAAAGTCCCTAACTTAAGGCCCTAAGCTTCACCAACGTCGAAGTGAGCGAGTGGGGAGTCTCCGCGAGCCCTTCAAACTCGAGCCAACCCACGAACCCAGGCTCACGGCCGGTGTCGGCACGGGCAGTAATTCGAGCAACGGGCATGGGCTTCCTCGCAACCTTCTTATCTTTTCTCATGGTATCAGACCAGTTTCAGGTGTGCAGGATCTGACTTGTGTTTACGGCGTGCGCACTATGCCGTGAGGCAAAGAGGTTTGTGAATTTGGGCCCGTCAGATTCCGACTGTGTTGGATGGCGATCCAGGATGATGCATCGTCAAAGGGGGGGTGGGTTTAAGATATGTGGTCAACCTCTGAGGGGGTGGGTCTAGGAAATGCGATTAACCTCAACGTGTCATATGTGTGTGTGTTGAAACGATTTTACTGCAGTTGCCCTTCCTGCTGCTACCAGTTCAATGGTTGCTGTTATCCTTCTGCCGCGATGGCCCTTAATTGGGAAGGCTCCCCCTCTCCAGGTCTCAAAACTCCAAAGTAGCTGGGAGCCCCCTCAGGTAACCCATTGTGGAACCTGCAAGGCGGACGAGGGCGGCTTTGCAGTTGGGCATTGGGACCTGCATGATAATTCTTCCTTTTTTGGTTGAAGCGGGGGTATAAGTATATGGATATCTTATGTAGCTATTCAGACTTTGCACTTGGGCTTTGGGCTGGCAAGTTCGGAAGTCTTACCAGGCCTAGCACAGGGCGTGATGTGCTTGCTGTACAAGTAAAAGTCGGTTTCGATCAAATTTCTTCAGATGCTGAATTTGTGGCAAATTCTGTGATTTTTGGTCCGTCGGTGGCATCCAGAACCGCTAACAGTGTTTGCCAGTTGCCTTTTCAGCAAATTCTGGGTGAACCAGGACCAAACTTCTGAAGTTACCCACCACGCCTGTACCACATTATGTGTTTGCAACACCGTGGTGTCGATCTCTTCGGTTCTAACAGTGCTTCGCGCACTTCGACTGGAGATGCTTTGCAAGCGGCATATTCCGACCCTGTATACCCCATGGATAGGCAGAATTCCTCCTGTCAACTCCTACATGATTCATGCCTGACCTATGCACAAATAGCCAACTCCCAGTGACTCGGTACAGTAGGGCCACCGAGAAGAGACGGAAGAGTCGCATTGGGACGCTGACATGCTTCAGCTTGGAGGTTAACATGCTTCACAAGGAATCCAAGGTCTGCCTATCCTAGAGCTTGAGAAGCTTTGTGGGACGTTCCAGCCTCCCAGGCATGGGGCGGCCTAAAAGAAATCAGACCACAATGATGGGATTCACAGAAAAGAACTAATAACAAAAACTGACGAAGTCTCAGGGGCCCTCTGCACACAAAAAGCGGAAATCTGCGCACTTCGAACTCTCCTGAAGTATGAGCTTTATCTGATTTGCATGGTTTGCAGGCCCTCAGCCGACACCCCTTACACCCTAAAACCCTAGCGTCGTACCAGAATCCTCGCCAGTCTTGTCCCAATTGTGAGCGCCGAAACCGTAAAATTCTAAAGCCTTAAACCCCAAGACCCTAAAGTCGAAACCCCAAGGCCTAAACCCTAAAATGCCCTAAATCAAAAAGCTTCGAGCTTCCAGCCGAAGGCCAAGTTTAGGCTCGAAGAGCCCTCCGATGCCAAAGGCGCCGAGCGCGAGGTTTGGCCGCTAGAGCTGCAGATGTTCTCCTTAAACTTTAAGCTGGCTCTTTTACGGGTATACCTAAGACCTGTCGGGTTTCTACAGGGCTTTAGGGCCGTAAGGTTGTAGGGTTGCAGCGTCGATTGGTGTGGTGATGACGCTCCTTCTGAGTGTGTTTCGATGATTAGATTCGATTTCACAGGCATTCGATGTTGAACTTCGGGCCAGAGGTAAAGAAAAATGATTCAAAACTGGTCGTCATAGCTTGGGTGGCTGTCCAACAACTCCCCGCTCTCGAGTTCAAACTCAGCTATTCTCCGGTCTACTCCTCGCTGGGTCTCCATTTGTGAGGGCCCAGCCCCAGAGTAGCCCTAGAGTGCCAAACCCGGAGTCCTTGGCCACAAGTTCCCAATCTGTACACTGCTCGAAGTAAACTAATCTTCATCTGTCCTCAGCCCCAATCCCTCCCATCCGCGAGCCTGGGTCTAAAACTTTCTTGCACCCATCCCTGCGCAATTTGTGCGGAGCTCCGTACTCTCGCGTCAAATAGCACAGGCATGAGATGTCACGTGTCGCCCTCCGGTGAATTTAATCCTCCACCTGAACCCGAAAACCGGCCTGCAACTCATGTGATTTGGCCGAGGACAGAAATCGCTCGGTGCCCAGCAGCTGTGGCTTCCGGCTTCACCTCAAGAGTTTGTGATCACTCACGAAGACAGAGAGGGCGTAAGGAGGCGTAGCGGCTGTCGCTTTCATTTTAGAGTGTTTTTTGCCAGGTCGTTTATCAGCTCAAACATTTCTTCTAGTAATTAACATCGAATACCTGGGTCGATTAGGATCTTTCCAGGAAAACTCTGCGAGTAGCTCAGCCGAAGCTCGGAAGTATTCACCTGAGAACTCGGCATGCCGGTGCCGCTTTGGCTTTGAGACGTGGGAAGACATGAAAGACAGAGCACTGCGCTCCCCTACCGAGGCGGTGGCCCTGTGCCTGTTTTTCATTCTTCTCCTAGGTTCTTATGGCTGGGCAATTGGATGATGCGTTGGAAGGACAGCATTTGCTTCCAGTTTTGAGTCGCAAGGCTTATGCCGGTTGAGATTTGGAGGTTGAGGAGAGTCTGAATGTGGGGTCTGCATGGACTCCAAACTCCTTAATTAATTCCAAGAGAACCGGGTCCTCAATTCTGAGCCTGTCCAGCTTGAAGCTACGCGGAGCGTAATTAAGGATACTAGGGATCTAGGCCATGGGCTCCAAAAGTGATCAGGCACAGCAAGCAAACCGAAAGACTCCTCAATCGTAAGACGTGCAATCCTCAAACCCCAGCCCTACATGGCAGGCCTCATGTTTCCGGACTTGTCCCTGCCGTTCGTGGAGGCGCATCTTAGGAATTGGTCTTCCTTAGCCTGGGTCGGATCAGCATCAAGGGTCGCTAGAGGCGTTCGCTGCTGCAACTTGCATCACATCTAAACTTTTCCAGCAGGGCTGCGAAGATGCCTTTCGCATGCATGGCTGAGGGGTTCTGGCGGGGTGGTGGGGCAGGTTGGAGCTCTCCCGAACCCCAAGGCCCGACTTCCAGTCTAAGAGAAGCTGAGAGTTCCGAACGCCTGTCATGATCATTAAGGCCGACCACCTAGCGAAGGTGCAATGTCACTGCCCTCAGCAAACCCGAACAGCCTCGCCTGGATAGTCCGGATCGCGAGAGTCCTATCCCAGCCTGTTTTCTTGAAGCAGCACTGGGTTTCTTGCGCGGCAGGCGCTTTGGAAGCCACAGTTGCTGCAACTTGGACCCAGACTAGGACTTTGCAATGGACGGCTTTGTTGGGTTTAGCTTTGCTGGTTCGAACTTTCAACTTGGATTTGCAGCCTTTGATTGGATTGGTGACGAAAGTCCTTAGCGGTCTTCACAGCCGGGCGTCGCACTGTTTGTTGCGTATATGGACTTCAGGGATAGTGGGCGTGCAAGCAGAGGCGCTGAGTGCACGAAGCCTCGGCCTATAAACTGCAGAACCCTTGAACTTGATGTAGCCTGCAGGGTTCAGGAAGCCGGTTCTAGCGTGATGTGCGTCGTGCGCGGCCTGCTGCGTGGGTAGGTATTGTACATGAAAACCGAGACGTGTACGGAGAAGTTGATTCTAACAAGAGAGAGCGCGAGAGACGCTGGCTTCATCACTCGCAAGCATCTCTTCAGGATGCTGAGTTTTCCTACATATTAGTTTGTGACGAACTACAACCCCAGTTTGAACATGGGGCGGTGGTCCAGAACCACGGCCCCCCAACCCGTGACTGCGCAAACCGCTGTTGAGGTAGGTTCAAGAGTACTTCGATATAGGCCCTTGCTTTCATTTCGTTCCACAACGACAGCAATACATCACAGTGGCGTATTGCGCGCATAGCACAAAAACCAGCAATTACTGTTCTGATTACACTTTTACACTGTTTAGGATTGTTGTCCATTTAGCCCCACAGCCTTAACTCAATCTGCACTGCACCACCGCAAACACAATCTGGCAGCATGCGCCCTTGCCCCTTGAATGGGCACTGTGCGTCAGTTTTATAGTGCCTGCTGGTATGGCGACATGGAGGGAAAAACGTTGAGAGCAGCCGCCATCCGACCGTTATTCTTCCAGCATCTTCGGTTTCAGGCAACCCTCTTCTCCCGAAACGCCGCAAACCCGGAGCATCGTGAACACAGTTGAGAAGCCGCAAACAACTAAACGATAAACGCTACAAGTATCCGAGCGCAATCCCGGACACATTTCCCACAACGTCTCACCCCTACTTCCTCCGCTCAGGAAGGCACCCACCGAGGCGGAGCTAGCGCAGGAAACTTTGGGCGAGAGTTTGGGGTTCCCAGAAGGTCCTTTGGGTGTGCCAAGTGTTGAAATTAAAGAGGGGCATGAAACAGGTTTTCGGATTGTAACCAGATCAGTTTACAAGTGCTTTCGTGCTTGGGATTCGTTGTTTCAGAAGCCTGTCTATTGTCAAGGGTGTTGGGGCTTGGCGGCTCGGGTGTGCTTCATGGCTTGGGGCCTGTTTGTGGAGTGTCCGGAACCCTAAGCCCACCACCGAAAAGAGAGCTGACATGCGAAGCGCTGGGAGTGAGGTTTTGGCGTCCTCCGATGTAGACTCCTTCCTCGGGATGGTACATCGCATGTGGCTACGGCAAGGTACTGGGAAGTGCTGCTACTCTTCATGGCGTGCATGGGTCGTGTTGCGGGAACCATGGGGGTTCCTGGAAACCATGCTTTGAGCACAGTTTTGGAAATCAGGTTGGCTTGCATACCGATTGTCGTTGAGTACTTGTCGCTTTCTTCGTTTGATCACGACGTGTCTTTGGTCAATTATCTGACTCGGTTCCCTGGCAGCAGATGGCCGCACATGTCACCCATCCCTGCCAACACTCTTTACGTGCTGTGGTACCCACTCCACTCTTTCCTGTACGGAGGGCGTACCGTGAACTTTTTGAGACGTCACACTGACCATTCATACCGTATCCATAACCCTTCGGCTACCGGCCAAATCCCAGCATACTTTTTCTTGCGTGAGAAGGCAACTCCTGAGTTGCCCGCTGTTGCATCCTTTTTCATGCTCCCTGTCGTTGGAGTTTCCGGAGGTGTGCCAGAGGCAGTAGCAGCTGAGCGAGTGTTCTTGGGCAACTTTTGCTTCAAGCTGAACACACCTCATGTCTACAAGCACTTAAGCCACCATGCCCTGGAACTTGTCAGCCCAAAGACTGCGCTCAAGCGCAAAACATTGGGCCCAATTGTGGCTCTTGATGTCCGTGAACACGCATCTCTGCCTGCGCTTTCCCCTAGTCCTTGTGTGCATGTTGCGGAATTGTGCCCCAAGCGCAAAGTTGCCAGGCAAACCAGGCCCCAGCGTTGCATGGCAAAGCATGTCGCTTTGAAGCTTCCCTCTAGGCCAAAACCGGTGAACACAGTTGGCCGCATCCTCACTGCACTGTGCTTTGAACGCCGTGACAAGCTCGCTAAGCATGGCTTGAAGCTTCTTTTCGTCTTGAGGAACCGGACATCATTGTGCCACATTTTTCACCAGGTGCACAGATGGGCATCGTCGCATCAACGACCCCGTGCTCTCAAGCACGTTCGCAAACGTGCCAAACAAACCGGACTACATCGGGCCGTGTTGACTTTGCCGTGGTGTGGTTCTGCTGCCCGCATGCAGCACACGAGAACACTTGTCCAGAACTTGGTTATGCGTTTGTTTGCGACAGGTGCTTGTCAGTCAACACTGTTCACCAATGGCAGGCTAAAATGTCAGATCATGTGGAAGCCGACTGATCGTTTGATTGACGTTCTCAGGTCGGCAGCAAAGTTCAACAAAAATCTGCATGATGAGATGTTCGCGTGAAAGTTGGCCCACTTGTAAAGCACTCGATGGCTCGTGGCATGTGTGTGCTAGACAGAGTGAGTTACCGCTGCCTGAACGCATAGCCTTCATGCGGAAAGTATCGGTGCAAACTCGTGTGAGGCCTGACTCGCAGAAGATGCTGACTCTCATTCAGACGGGGTTGAGCAAATTTGTCAAAACATTGGTTGATCCTTTCTTGCCTGACGTGTCAGATGATCGATGGCAGCCCGTTGTGCATGCTTGCGCAAGGTCGCTTCTTGAGTCATGGACTGAACATGAGCCGACGGCTGCAAACAACATAACACACTCCATGGCCATGGAGATGAAGCGTTTGTGCGATGGCCTGTTTATTGAAGCCCTTGACAAAAACACGTCAGAGCTTGTGTGCATGTGTCCGCGCATGTACTTTCTGCAAGCCAGCGGCCTCTTTCAACATCAACCCTCAGATGTGATCATGATTGGCTCATCGTACAAGATCACTGACCCTGCCCTGCTTGACAGCGCACCAGAGTCTGTCGTGAAGGTGCTTGACATTGATGCCGACCTCGTGCATTTCCAAGGTTTCACTGCCCGTCGAAACGATCTTCGAGGCTGCTTGGTACCCGTTCCTGGACCGAATTTCCGGTATGATCTTGATCCCAGTCATTGGCTCCATCTCCATCAACTGGTGACCAACGGTCTGCGGGATGAGCTGCAACCCACTGAACTGAATAAAAGGTTCAGTCACCTCTGGAAAGCGACCCTGGCGGGACGCGAACCATCGTGGGGGAAAGTGAGAGCGGTACCCAAACACAAAAACTTGTTGGTTGCCCGCCCTCTCGGAGACCAGTCGTGTAATCCTTTGAGCCTACTTTGCCGACTCCTTGCACGTTTCATTGATCTCTGCCTACAGAGCTTACCAAACGAGCTACACTGTGGTAGACCAACGCACTCGTCGGTGGTGGCCGCATTGACAAAGCTTCGTGAGCAACCCTTGCAAACAGCAGTGAGCGCGTATGGCATGGCCAATCTACAAAACTACGGCTTGTACGTGCTCTCAAAAGACGTTGACAATGGCTACATGCGCATTCACCATGCCGAAGCACTTCAAGTATGGAGTTTTTTGACACCTTTGTTGCAGTCATTGGGTTTCTCGTCAGCATGGATCTCACCATACATGTCCAAAAAGCGCACTATCCATCATCAGCACGGAAAGCTAAACATGCCGACATGCCGATTTCAGACACTTCGAGTTCAGACTGACTCAGTGGCTCAGGCGCCCTTAAATACCTGGCATAGTTTCAGCCTGTGGCATGCATGTCTCCGACATAAGAATGCTGAAGCACTTCTGTAGGTTCGTCGTAGGGTGTCCGTACTGGGAGGATCGGCACACTTCCTGCATTGGTTTTCAGAAAGCAGGAAGCCCTTACACCATCATAAGTTTCATGTTGGGATACATCCACGGAGTCCTCCGCTCCTTTGTCTACTGAGTTTTAAGATTCATTTCTAGGCGACCGCACAGCCGCTCAGCCAGGTGGAGTGACCCGAACCCTAAACCCCTGTTCGTTCTGCTTATAGCTCACTTGGTGCGCTTCACGGCCAGGAGGAGGCAAAATACGCGGGCCATCTGGAGGCCGTGCCGTGCCAATTGTTGCAGGGGGCATTTGGATGGCGACTCTACTTGCGGTTTTTGGCGGCTGTTTCGACGGCTGCATGCTACCGCGTTTTCTTCGATCCACCATGGAAGGCGGAATCAGGAAGGCGAGCCCAACCTCATAATCATGCGGCCATGACATCTACCAGGGTTTAGCTCGGATTCCAAAGCTGGAAAAGGACGTGTAACATCCTTCGCCACGACTGCATTGCTGACACACGACTGCATTGCCGACAACCATGACGGAGTCTGTTACATGAACGTGTATATTGCATTATATTGCGACATACAGTCATCCAGGCACCCGAAATCCTGTAAGTGCTCAGGCCATCCGCAACACTACACCGCCGGCACCCCCCATTGGCATGGAGAAGCAGCTTGGGTAACTTGGCCTGCCATGGTCAAAAGGTACTGCGAATGCGTTCTCCTAAGCTTTCAGCCGGAGTTCCGCATTCTCTAGGATGCACTGCTACCGAAATGAAGTTACCGAGAACCATCAAACACAGAAAAACGGAAGCATCGAGTGCTCCTTCAGAGACACAGTTGCTGCAATCTAGTCAAGACTGGCCTGAATGATCCCGCGAGGTCTATGCTTTTGCGCTGCCATGTGCATCTTAAAGTTTGCTGGTATAGGTTGTGTTTATTTCGTACTGAGATGACTTAGATATCGTTCAGGTTGTCGCAAGACCACTCTGCGCAGCATCTTTCTCACACGAGACATCGAGCTGGACAAGTGCTTGTAATGGCAAGGACGTTCTGTGAGCCGATGAAGTTTGCAACAAACCTACGTCCACGCTTAAAGATAGTGGCAACAGCAGACTGAGAGCACAGATGGGTAGTTCTCCAAATTAGGGTCCCTTTTTGGGTTCCCAAAATAGTACGGCACCCATATAAAATGGACCCGAAAAGGGACCTTAGTGTGGAGAACTACTTGTATGCCTCCCGAGTGCATCTTCATGCATTTGGGCTCATGTTGCCAGGCCACATTGTCCTGACAGTTCATTGATGTTTTGTATCGAGTTGAGCTTGCCGCGAGAGACCTTGATTTCACCATTCGACACCAGTCAAAGGCTTTGCCTCAACGGCTGTGTTCAGCGCGTTAATTCTCTGCAAGCGCGGCTTGAGCTCTGTTGTACTGCATTGCGGCTCACAGCATCTTTTTCAGTTATTCTAACCCCTCGAAACGGCAGCAGCAGCAGCACCATCATGGAAAGGCCAAGCGAATTCTGCCGGTCAATCGAAGCTAGTGGTCCCTTGTGTTAATGTCCGTTCACATGTGTCGCCGGTTCAGGTTTAGGGCTGGCAAGTTTCATGTTGTTGAACAGGCTTGCATGGTGCTCCACAGCACCTACCGATGATAGTGGTTTCCATGAAGCGTCGAAAGTTGAAGGAAGTCTTTCAGATAAGATGTCTCTAACTAGCAACTTCGTGTAGGAAAACCTCACGGGATTCACATCGTGCAAGAGCCAGGTCGCTCAAGGGCGCGGGTGTCTAGGGCCAGGGCGACTGAGACCTCCTCGACCCTACAGTTTGAAACCGTTCAACGGTAGCCGAACCTTGCACAACTGTTAAGTTTCATCCGGGAGTGCCAGGAGGTAGCCATCTGCACAAGATTTGCATGAAAGGGTTTGCTTAAGAGGGGTAGCAGGTTGAAATGTGATTGCACATCGCTCAGTGGAGGTAAGTCGATCCTTCAAGCTGCTTGAACTTTGACTTTGAAGTTAGAGGCGACACTGCAACAACGCAGTGTTTGCCTTGGGTTGTCCCCCATACATGCCTATGTTCACAGCGTGTCCAAACAAATCACAGCATGTGATACAAAGAGGTCCTGCGTGCCAGTGGGTTTAGTATTCTGTCGGCTATTAGGAGTGCCACAAGGGACCTTGTAAAGTGGGGTTGTGGCCGTAAATCCTTTCGGCAAAAGTGGGTACTACTCCTTTGTGTCATGTTCACGGTCAAAATCTTCTTGGCCTCCGTCATACTAGTCTGTGATGTGTTGGTGCTCTTCTTGTTGTTGTTGTTGTTGTTGTGGTGGTGGTGGTTGTTGTTGGTTTTGTTGTTGGTGATGATGTTGTTGTTGTTGTTGGTGGTGGTGTTGTTGTTGTTGTTGGTGGTGTTGTTGTTGGTGGTGTTGTTGTTGTTGCTGCTGTTGATGGTGGTGGTGGTGGTGATGATGTTGTTGTTGTTGTTGTTGTTGTTGGTGGTGTTGTTGTTGTTGGTGATGATGGTGTTGTTGTTGTTCTTGTTGTTGTTGTTGTTGCTGTTATCGTTGTTGTTGTTGTTGCTGTTATTGTTGTTGTTGCTGTTGTTGTTGTTGTTGTTGATGATTGTGTCGTGTTGTTGCTGTTTCTGAAGAAGGGCAAAGACCGAGTAACACTGAAGCATGGACCACAAGAACTGATAAGGGGGTACTGCTTGCGATTAACGGTTTCAAGAGCGTGAACACCAAAAGAGAAGAGATGGACAGTGCTTGCGATGGAGGATTGGAAAATGGTCACCGTCAGATGCTCCAATATTCAATTTGTGTCGTTTCATTGTCATCATCTACATCTTCATCGCTTCCATCATGTGACTCTGCGGTTGTGGTTGGTTTTTCGGTTGTTCGTCGTTGTCTTGTTGCTGGTGCTGAAGAAAGGCAAATTCCGACTGACCCGACAACATGGAATACAGGAGCAGATGCGGACGACACAGCCTGCGATAAATCATGCTCCACCCCCTTCATTTGATCTCTTATGACCTATCTCCCTATCCTCCCCCAAACAAAACTAACCTGTCAATCTTCGATTCGTCTCGTCTCATAGTCGTCTTTACCATAGTTATCATTTGATTTTGCGGTTGTTGTTGTTGGTGTTGATGATGATGTTGTTGACCCCCGGGCTTACAAAGGGGACTTGGAGTTACTGTCAGGGCTGAAAAGGCTGGAAAAGTACACACGCCCCCAAGGCAAACAACTGGGCGTAGTATAATAGTGACTGACTAGTGATACATTATGATTAGCCCTCCAAAGTGCTGTGCTGTCCTTAATTTCTGCTCCTCCGAAGGCCAAATTTTAGGGATATTACAGCACTTCAAAGCATTCGACTTTTCAACTTGCTGTGCCGTCCTTAGATTTGGTTTTTACCAAACCCAGATTAAAAAGCACAGCACAACTCCCAAGGACTCTGGGACTTCTAAGAGTGTTGTATTGTACAGGTTGCGCGGTACAGACGTTCGTTATACACCCCTTCCGAGCCATACAGCTATTCTGCTATTCTTTTCGTTCATAGTCATTTCTACTTTCGATCGTTTGCAAAATGTTCTGTGTAAAAAGTAACATGCGATGAGCAAAGCAGCTGTTCTACAGAGAAGCCGAACTCAATGGTAGTTACAGCACTTTCTACGCATGGAGCAGAAGGTTCGCGACATCGTGGTATGTGTCAGAGAGTGGAACAGATAGGGTGTAGATGTTAGGGCAGTGGTGACAATCAAGATGTATAAATATATATGTATATATATATGTATATATATATATGTATATATATATATGTATATATATATAGATATGTTTTTATTTAGGTATACAGATATATTGATATATAATGAGGTATAAATAAAACTACCCAACTTTGATTGTATATATATATAAGTACATGTATATATGTATATATGGGATGCTTGGTGCATGAAGGTAGAAAGCATGAGTACGCAAGCTTCGACGCCCCGCGCGGCACAATCTAGACCGTGCTGAAGACGTCGTATTATTTCGGGACGGCTGACTAGGTGGACAGGTGACCTGCTTCCCGCGGCAAACTACACAGTGCATGTACGAAACACCCTTTGTTGTGTTGCTGTTGTTTGCTCACTCACGGGTTGTGTTGGTTATCACACTTGTGAACCCACAGCATGCAACGCATATTCACGGTCAGTTTCGGGGCGGCGAACACGGTACAGATATTTTCCATGGACTGGCGGCAGCCGCTGCCGAGCATGCATCATTCACGCGCGCGCATATACATAAGGACAAGATATGTGAGGGCTTAGGAACGGCCAGCTTAGTCCGGGTGCCCAAAAGCCGACGCAGCTTAGTGAGCTGGCATTTCGAAGTATGATATTGGACTACAATTGTCAGATACTGGCGGGTGGGTTCTCCAGATTCACCGAGAGGGTAAATATAAGTTCCGCATCGTCAGCAGAGAATCAAGAATCCGCGCGGGTGATCTGCGGCTGTGGCAACAGAACATATGAAGAGCCGCTTCGGATGTCGAAACCAGCCCATGACCATCATTCACGACCAGTTCGAACTGCAAACCCCACAAGCCTTTCATGTCACTACAGCTGCTAAACCCTAATCCCCTGGCCTACTTTATGTAGGTGCTTGTGGAAAGGGCTTTCCTCTCCAAGTTTGGTTTCACTTCAGACCTCGAACATGCTCCGCCTGGAGTGTCCCAGTCGCGAGTGCCGAATCCCCTAACCTGAACCCGAAATTTGAAACCCTGAACAAACCTAAACGACCTAAACCCGAAATTTTGCTGGGAGTCTGAGGCCTCCTGCGGAGCAGCAGGCGCAGCCCGAAGAGGAGCAGGCCGCTCCGGGGGGTTGCAGGCTTTAGGATTTTAGGATTTCGGGTTTCAGGACTTGGTGGGTTTGAGTTTATGATTTCGGGGTTTCTTGGGTTTATAAAGCAGGCTGTCCTCTAACGAGTTCTGAGTTTGTTCGTGCGGCTTTGGCCGTGAGGACCACACCATCGTCAAGATGTCACATAGGACACAGGGACATTCATCACATGGATGCACGTCGGCACGGACAAATAAATTCAATTGACATGTTTGCAGCGGACCTCTACCGCTAATAAGGTACCTGCTCTCTTAGAGATGCTGCTAGATTCACTGGATTTATGAACACTTAACTAACAGTGGAGCCCTAGCCGCGCCCCGCAGAAATAGATAAAGCTCTGCCCCTGGACCTTTCAACCTCGACTTGAAGCGCTGGAACTGAGAGGATGACATGGAGGAAGAGGAAGAAGAGTTCACCGACGATGAGGGGCCGGCCGACCGCTTCTAGCGAAGCTTTGTGAAGCTCCACCGTCGGATCCTTCGCATAAAGAAATGCAACCCACACCCTTTTAGGAATGCCTAGAGGCACTCGACGACACCGCACATGGACTTTGAGAGTTTACCTAATAGTAATTAAGTTACGGCAGTGGAGCTTGCGGGCAATGGCTGAGGAGATTGATGCCTGTCAATGTATGCTTGAACGTGGAGGTCAGCGGGGGACGGCCAAAGAGCCAGAGCCATATTCGCGGCCGCCACCATGTCAGCGCAACAGGGAAAAGATGTCATTTCCCATATTTCTGCTGAACGGCTCCATGTAGGTTTGGGCTTTACTGCTGTACGTAGGGGTTTGTAATCCATACCTTCAGCTTGGGAGCCTTCGGTGCAGCGCGAGCTTCGCAGATGATGCCATAGTCCGGTGGTTTTCATCTCGTCGCATCCGTTTGAAGGCGATGTCCACGGGGCCACGAGATTTTTCCTTTCTTTGCTCACTCAGGCCCGGTATTTGGGCATCCGGGTGGGCATTTTTGTGGCCATCGTGCGACTTGGATGCAACTGAGGATCCCACCAAATGTTGAGGTTTAGGATGTTTTGCGGGGCTTGAAGCGTCCCTATGCTCAACACTTCTTCAGACGCTGGAAAAATGCCTAGTAGGGGAGGATCTCTAACTTGCCTGTCAGACCGTCCATCGCTTCTCTGTTAACCTTTACACACGTATACAAGGAAGCCTGGTGGCATAATTTCCTCTTTGGCGGCTGTGGGACCCTTGTAAAGCACTGCTACGAGAAGTATAACAAAGAAAACCCCAAAACATGAACAGCGCCCAAGCTAGTTGCGGCTTCACACCTGCATTATCATTGTCGCATAGCCGACTCAAGAAGACTCCCATGACCCACCAGGCAATGCCAGTTGATCTGAAGCCAGGATTCTGCTTGGCTTCGTGACGCAGTGGCTCTTCGGGGTTCCGGACCCAGCATGTCCACATGATGAGGGCAGGGTTCTGGTTCTTCCGCGGCCCAGCAGCCATCCCTTGCAGGTCGCCTCGCGTTGAACCCCGGTTTTGCGGAAAGCGCCCAAAAGTCTGGCCAGCCGGTGTCCCTATCGTGTCCTGGTCATGTGAAATGTCGTAGTCGGTGTCATGGTCGTATCCCGGTGTATCCGTCGGGTTTCGGTGTGTATCCTGGCCGTGTCTTGGTCGGTGCTTGGTCCGGTCGGTGTATCGGTCGTATGTCCTGGTCGTGTCCCGGTCGTCGCCGATCGTGTCGTGACCCGGGTCCCTGTCGCATCCCGGTCGGTTGATTGGTCGTTTTTCGGTTAGTGTCAGGGTCGTGGCTCGGTCGTTGTCCCGGCCGCGTCAAAGTCGCATCCCGGGCGATATATCGGTCGTGTTTCGGTCAGTGTCCCAGTCGTGTCTTGGTCGTATACCGGTCGGTGTATTCGTCGTGTTTGGGTCAGTGTCCCGGTCGTGTCTTGGCCGTTGTCCTCTGGTCGTATCCTGGTCGGTGTCTGGTCGTGTTCGGTGATATGTGCTATACCATGTGCAACAGAAGCCTTATTTGTAATGTAAGCAAGCATGGCTGCCAAATCCATGTAGAATTTTCATACGCTATTCATATTTTCCATTACTGAGACGATTCCCCCTGCAAGTAGCACCTCAGGGCTAAGATGTACTGTACGATCTGTTGCCGGCATCTTGCGCTCCAAGTCGTGCCCCGGACCTAAGTTGCATGATTTGTTGCGGTTGCGGTGTCTTGGGGTCCACTTGGTGCCCCGGCGTTAAGCTGAACGATCTGTTGCCGGTGCGCAGGGTTTCATTTATAATGCCCCAGGCCTCAGACTTATAATCTGTTGCCGGTGTCTTGTGTGGGTTAAGATGTACGATTTGTTGCCTGTGTCCTCTGCTCCAACTGGCGCCCCAGGGCTAAGATGTACGATTTGTTTCCGGTGTTTGGGGGTTCAAGTGGTGCGGCAGGGCCAAAATGCGCGATTTGTTCCCGGTGTCTTGCCCTGTGCGAGGATCTAAGCTTTGTTTCCTGTGCTTGTGCTCCAAGTGGCGCACCAAGAGAAACAAGTACGACTTGTTACACGCACCCCGAGGCAAAACTGTAGGATTTGTTGCCTGTGTCTTTGGCTCCAACTGGTGCCCCAACTCTGAGATGTACGATATGTTGCCTGTGTCCAGTGCTCCATGAGGCGCCCCAGCTACCCTCCAATGCACGTCCAGCAGCGTCAGATCGCGCACTCGCTAAAAACTCGTCAGTCCGAAATATAAATCGTCAAAGGGGCAGTTTCCGTCTAATCCCAGTGATTAAAGCCAGACAGAGTAACGTTGGTTTGTAATTGGGGTCTGAATTCATTCAGTATCACTAAAGACTATATAGGATATCTACCCCTCTCTTCCGAAGATCTTCGAAGTTGTCCTTGCGGCTGAAAGCTAGTTCTTTAGGGTTAGGGGCATTGTATGTCAAAGTATTTTAAGGCTCAGGTCGGGTCGTTGGCTGTGACACGCAGAACATCTAGAATTATATTGATATGCCGGTCTTATTCTGTTCGGACCGACCCGACTTTGGAATCCAAGCAAAGAAAAATTGTAAACCCTTCCCTCGCCCATTCCTCATGAGTGCCGAAGCCGGAGCATAACCCGAACACACGAATCTCGCAAAGGGCACTTGATCGTCCGGCAAACGCTTACCACCTGACAACTTTCCCGCTCCCTGCTGTATCTAAGAACCCTAGTGAAAGAATGCTGCTTTCTGCTATAGTATTGACTTCCAACCTCGGGATTGGGTCAACTGTCCAGCATCTGAACCCTGATCGACGAGCGATCCGAGCGTCTCGGACAAAGAATCCCCAAACCTACTTTCATGGATACCCGATGGTTAATAATGCTTTGTTTTCTTTAGCTTCGTCGGTGCCTTGAGGTTGCGAGGTGTGTTCCATGCAGCCCGAATTCAAGCCATCATAAGCACGGCTATTCTCAAAGCTCGCTTGGTCCGCCCCTTCCCAAAGAGCCCCTCGACCCCAACTACGACACCCCTTTAAGACCGATTAAATACTCAGACCAAAAGAATGTCGGGAGTCTGTGACCGGAGCCCGAGGCCGAGGTTAGATTCCTGTCCAACGTTTTCCTGAACCACATTACAGCGCCTAGCCTGTTTAGCTTCAGGGCTCGTGGTGGACAGGGTAGAGTTTATGGTGTTGAGGGGTGAGGTGGTGGCCGTGAAAGATGGAGTCTATCTTGGACTTCGAGTTCTGGGCTGGGACTATGGCTGGCATTTGGAGTTTCGAGGGGCAGACGCGATGCAGGGTAATTTGTCCGTAGACCCTACATCCTGAAGTATCAAACCCTCAGATATCTCCCTAGATGTGCTTCCCGAACTGGAAGAGATGTCTCCAAGGCCTCTCTGTTAGTACAGCTGAGAGCCCACAGTGGTCAAGAGTCATGCGTCATGGACGAGAACCAGGCCTTATCACAGTTTGGGGATCAACCTCTAAGTTCTTGGAGGGAGGGAGGGCTTCTCATACCCATCTCCGAAACATGCCTCAAGGATCCCAGAAAGGCATGCTCTTTACAAGGAAAGGCCTTGTCTTACTCTGGCTGAAATGAAGCTACACGCTTGAGGTCCAAGGTGGCTACCAGTCTTGATACCACGTATCCCGGAAATTTACAAAGTTCTGGTTTCGAAATCTGAAGTCCTACCGCCAGAAGCTTAACTGCCTTTGCTGCGAATCGATCCCCTGAAACTGGATTCTCACGTGGCTAATTCGTGGTCTCTTTCATGGCCAAATTCTAATGCTACCACACAAGCAGGTGCTCGTGCCTTAACAAGCTCCCCAACGACCTAGAGAACAACGGCGACACCCTAAACCCTAAACCCGTGCTGAAACCTGAACGCCGAAATTCCAGAGCCCTGAACCCCTCGACCCACAGTTCGCATGTGTTCCAGGTCGGAACCCTCTCCGCATTCGTCCTTGCGGGCGGTCGCCGGCTGAGATGTCACGGATGGATCAGGTTCTACAGGGCTTCTCTGGGGTTTCGCATTTAGGGCTTGCGCGTCTTAGGGAGGAAGGTTTTTGCAGAAGCGGTTTCGGAGTTGAAGTGCAAGGGTCTTGAGATTCGACTTCGAGGTTTAATTTCAGGTGCCAGGTTATCGATATGACCATGACCATGAGAAACCGTAAGCCCAAACACCCGATGCAATCCCATAGCACCAATAACGAGCTTTCGAAAGGATGCACATGGCTAGGCGGTTGGCTACTTTTTGTTGCTCGGTTTTTATCTAGAAGTTAGAAACAGTGTTGTTGGTGCCGTTTTCCTGCTGGTTTGTTTGACTTTTCAGCACTTGTGATTGTTCCGGCTATTGTTGCCACTACCGATGTGTAAATGATGAGTGTTCGCCAATAAACTAGTACGCCACACATCCTATCTAGATGCATAGCTGTGCAGCAAAGACGACCCGCAGCGTCGCGACGCGCCTGGGAGGCTCGGAGATCTCCCCGAGGAAACCAATGGCAGTTAGTCAGAGGGTTCGAAAGATGAGGGTGTCTTTAGGCTCCAGCGACCTGTCCTGGCCTCCCCAAAACTGGCTTATGTTTCCCTATAGATCTATATATATATATATTGTTTAGGGTTTAGGGTATATATATATATATAGATAGGTCCAAGGGATTGTGAGAAGGTTTGCAACATGTCGCCGCGCCCGGCAGCCACGCCAACGCTTGCAAGAATGGGACCTGATATCTCTGTAGCCCAACCAAAGCCCAGAAACGCACCAAAAACCCAAAAGATTTCAAGCTAAGTTCTGAAGTGCTATACTTTCCAGAGGCATCCCTTGCAAAACTCCGATAGAGAAAAAACACAGGCTGGGCAATTTTACAGGCTGGGGCCTCAGTGGCTGGGAAATTCTGGGCTCCGGATGCTCCCCAAAAAAGGGTTGACAAAACGTGCAAAATGGGGTTCTAAAAAGCGCTACTATGAGGCTACCATCCGGGATAGTAAGACGGTTGTAT